AAATAATAATATAAATATTCTGTGTTTCTTCACTAAATTCTACATTCTTTATATAGTTTCAGTTTAGCAAAATAAAATGGTGAATGAATATTTCCTGAGTACTCACATGAGTAACTGAGTAGTCACTGAGTAACAATACTCAGAAATTGTTAGTAGTACCAATATGAGTACTCATGGACGATTTATGAGTAAAGTTGTACTCATCGTATGAGTACTTTCACTAGGGTTCTCCTATCTCTTTTGAAAACGATATAGACCCTGAGACACTGAGTCGTATCGACTTTGCCTAGGTCAACGCCAAGACGTATAACATGAAGTTAAATTCCAACGAATAAAATTAGCTTAATTTCAATGACTAACATTAGAATCTCAATGCGATGTCGAATGAGATTGAAGAGCGTCATCGATTAAAAAGAAAATTGAATGAAAATGTTATGTGGATAGAGAAGGCTTGTGAACAAGTAAACAGAGCTAAATGAAACTAAGACCGGATCGTTCGTTGATTTAACTTTGTGCACAAGAACCAAAATTAAGTGAAGTGAGGAGGAAAGTAGTTGCTCAGCTATTCTGGTCTGCACCTGATTAATGTAGAATTCTCGATGTTGTGTGCAGCCAGCAGTTTTTCTCCACTGCTTCTAATTCTTTGTTAACTCGTCTTAGCGTTCTTATTTTCTCTATATTTTGAGAGTAATGATCTAGAGAGACAGAATTTTTGAAAATTTGCAAGCTCATTTTCACTTACGTTATAGAGAAACGCTAAAAACTCGGTACTTTGTTTGTATGTCAAGGTCAAGGCAACAAATCTTTTGAATAAAGTTATAGAGTAATTTGATGCAATTTCATCGCTCGTATACTAATAAATATAAGTGCATAACTCTTAAAAACAGTAAATTAGTGTTCGTCACTTTCATTCAACTGGTTGTGGCACTAGTTCTAGTTCATGTTCATGTCCTTTCTCTTTACATGCTTGACACAGATCATATGAAGTAGTTGCTTTACCATCCGCTACACACTGTTTACATTGGTATCTTAAGCCAACAAGTGGATACATGTGACAACCATCACAACTAATCCTTGACCAGATAAATTCTTCAGGTGGTCGTAGCGTCCAATATGAGCTTGTATCTGATGGAGAAGCCTCGTAACTGTTTCTGCCGAGGGTTTTCCAAGTAGGTCGGTTGTCACGATCCAAAATACATAGTTGTTTTTCATCTTGCATAACAAGATTATAAGGTGGATTTCCCTTATTGCGCGTTTCAGATGACCATATGCATTTATTTTGACTATCATAGATACACAAATCACCATCATTTTGCATTTTCAAATGATATGGACCTTCACCGTTTTCATTTTCGCCAGAACTCCATATTTTTTGGTATACAACGAGGTTTCCATCCGCTTTTAGGATGGCGCCGTAAAAACCATTAAGCGAAGCTATTTCGTTGCCTTCCTTTAATATCTGATCATTTCTAAGTGTATCTGGCTTCGGTTGAGCTTTAGCACTGGTCCATATTGACTGATTATCGCTATCATAACTCACAAGTTGTCCATCATCATTCAGAACAAGACGATAAGGAGGAGTCCCACAATTCCACGTTTGACTAGCCCAAGTAGGTTTATCGAGAGAATCATAAATAACTAAATTACTATCGTGTTGCATTTTTAAATAAAACGGACCAATACCACTTTTAGTCCCTATTGTTGTCCATTTTAAATTACCTAGATCCCATGCATTCCCTTCACTGATAGTCAGATTTCCATCTACTTGTAAAGAAGTACGGTAAATGCCATTTTCTGAAACTAATTTATCACCTTCCTTGAATAGTTCATCCGTGCCAAGTGTATTTGTCATTTGAAAAATGTTTATCAATAATCTATAATTCAAACAATAATGGTAGTTTATATTGAATAAGAAAAGCACAAAGTATCATTCATTAAAGCATTAAATAAACTTAGGTTTATGATCATCAGAATAAAGTTGTGCATTTTATCCGTTTTCTTTTATCTTCTACTAAGTAAGCGAAACACAAGAGATGTCTATGTTTCTATTAGAGCTATCTGTACAGTGTAGATCATCCAAAAACTTACATACATTCTTCATAATAATGGATAAATGTCTGTAGTATTTATGTCAAAAAATATGAATATTTTTCCATTCTTTTGTTCGTAAAAAGCGTTATTCATGCATATCAATGTGAATAATAATACACAAAAACGTATCAATTCATTACCATATAGTTTTCTAATGTTTGTTCTTACGCTATATTATAAAAGAAGTGTATACCCCCTATGTAATCGAGTATTCCATGCTTTTTCATTTTTCACGTTATGCTAGGATAGACGATATTAACTTATTAATACATCTATATATCCTCGTGGAAAAAAATAGTTGCACACAGTATTTTTAAGATATTTTCCTTACGAAAACATACCTTTACAAAAGTGACCCCATATTCTGATAGCGCTTGGAATTCTCCACAATTCTGTATATTTATATCTTGTTTTGCATTTATTTGCTGAAAATCAAATTGAGTGCAATGACGGCCCCCACATTGTCAGATTCCGACGGACTATATTTTGTTACTATTTCTTCAACTTGCTTTTTAAATTTATCATCACTATAGAAATTGCTTTTTATAAAAGTAATTATATATTCTGATAGCGCCTAAAATTCTTTATCATTCTATATATTTATGTCTTGTCTTACATTTATTTGCTGAAAAATAATTTGAGTACAACGAAGGTACTCCCAATTGACAAGTACCAAAAAGGTGCATTTTTGCAAGGTGCATACTTTTTTAATTTTTTCCACACCATCTGTTCTAACAGATTTTTTTACAAACCACGAGAAAGAGCACATTCAGAAGTACAAAAAGAACTGACTTCTCACTTTTGCAACCCTTTTTTCTCTAAAATTAAAGGTTAGGTATGATTTTGTAGAGCATTTCGCGGCGCATCTTTTTAAAAACACATTAACCTTTGGGCCCTAAAGAAACACAAGAAAAATAGAAAATATTGAGGTGTCACACTCATTACAATTTCTGGGAATCTGACGATGAGAGGGCCGTCATTGCACTCAATATATTTTTCAGCAAATGAATACAAGACCAGATTTAAATATACAGAATTGTAAACCACAAACAACTGTACAAAACCTATTAAATCAATTAATGCTTGAACAATGGTTAATAACAATATCATATGAAAATTATTATTAACAATGTTAGCCAAAGCAATGTCAATATTCATATGTTTACTCATTTGATTTACTTTATGTAATAGCAACATTCATTATCTTAATTAATGGATTACAAAAAATATTAAGAATTTTAATACCGACCTTAGTTAAAGTAGCAAGAAGGAAAAAAGAAACAACAACAAACGGCAGGTGACATAAATTATGGTGAAAGAAACAAGAGCTGCAAACCATTTATTTAAGCTGTCCCTTCTGTTAATTAGAAGATGGGAAAATTGGAAAAAAAATTTATGAGTTTTTATGAAGGCTTCATGTAGGCTTCGTCAACGGCTCTAGAAACTGTTGACCTCATAAAAAAGCAAAATGAACAAAATACATGAGAAGAGCAATCACATTGTTAAAAAGAACCACTCCGCAACGAAAGGTTGTGCAAAGCTCGGAAACGTGTCACTTTGCACATGAATTGTGAAACAGCCCCTGGGGAAATTTTGTCAAAGTTTCATGACGCTGGGCTCGTGCAGTTGCAACATCAAATGCGTGGTCACATGTAAAACCTCTATAATTTCACACGCGTTCACAAACGAGAATTTCTTTTCACGTGTGTCAGCACACCGCTTTACGACTTCCATTAGTGACCATGTGCGAAAAAAATGACGCGAAAAGCTTCCGTGAGCAGTTCTTTGTCACAAGCGGGAAATATTTTTACGCGTGGCCACATACCATTTTACGATGTCCACGAGCGATCACAGTTCATTTCACGATATTTACGGATGTACAGATCGTTTTATTTGCTAAAATTTCTCTATGAGAGGAACTGATAAAATTAGAAAACGAATTTTTTCACTCCGCTAGAAGCGACACATAATTTGATAGACAAACGCGTGTAATGAAAATATATGTCTCGATCGGAAATCAAACCCCGGGTCCTTTGGTAACAGGCAAAAGCTGTAACCACTGAGTTACCGAAGCACCATCTAACATACACTCTCAATTCACATGAAAAATTCAACTATCAGAGTCTTGAATACCGACGCAGTATCCCTCGTACAATGAGTAGCAATACTGCAGACCTCATTAGAAGCGTATATTACCTCATACCCGTTGTGTAGCCCCTGAGTATAAACAGCTATCTGATAGTTAAACCATTCACGTGAAATGAGAATATGTGTTAGATGGTACCTCGATAGCTCAATGTTTAGAGCTTTTGGTCCGTTACCAGAGGATTCTGAGTTTGATTCCTGGTCGTGGCATACATTTGTTTTCAAGTGTTTGACTATCAAATTATGTCTCACTGCTAGCCGTGTTAGAAATAAATTCATTTTGTAGTTTTACTTTGCTGAAAAACGAGTTTCTCTGTCTACTTGATGTCATCGTCAGTTCTCTAGTTACCTTTGACTTCCTTGTAGCTTTGAGGAAACACGTTTCGCAAACGAAAACAAGTACATTTGTTTTCTTCTAAAATAGAACTAATCGATGGAGTAGTGTCAAATGTAATACATTGTACATTTGTGGTTTTAAGTGGTACTTTGTTGATTTTGCGTTGAAAAA